AGTAAATGCCATCAACAGGGCCCACCGGACCGCAAACGCCTCCTTCTCCTAAACGGGCCAGTTGCGTTCGGTACCTGTCAACTTCCTCGAGGTGTAGGAACACGGCTGTAGGACTCCTTCATTGTTCTTTTGTAAGAGGACTGTGGCCACCACCACATCACCGCATCTGCCTGAATCACAAATGGCTTAGTGGGCTCTGGATGTTTCAGTATGGGCTCTTGTACAAACAAGGACTTCAGACGCTCAAACACTTGCTGACACACTGTTGTCCACACAAATGGGCTTCCCGGTCGAGGGTTTGGCGTGAGATGTTTTGTACGTAAGAGGCCGGTTAGTGGGAGGGCCACTTGGGCAAAGGACGGGATGAACTGGTGATAGAAATTGGCAAACCCTAAAAAACTCTGCAACTGCTTGTGGGTTTTAGGAGCCTGCTAGTCCAACACCACCTTTACGTTCGCAGGATCCATCTCCACCCCTTTAGCTGAAATACGGAACCCAAGGTAATCCAGTTGCATCCTGTGGAATTCACATTTAGACAATTTGATGTATAAATGTGCGTCCAGCAGCTTTTTAAGCACTTGACGTACAAGTATTACATGTTCCTCCATGGTCTTGGTATAGATAAGAATATCATCTAAATAGACGAGTACCCCTTGATACAGATGCTCATGCAGCACTTCATTAATTAGCTGCATGAACACCGCTGGGGCTCCTTGCAGTCCAAAGGGCATAACCCAGAACTGGTAACTGCCTAGAGGACAATTAAAGGCTGTCTTCCATTCATCACCAGCCCAAATGTGTACCCTATATATGCCTCCCTGAGATCTTATTTCATGAATATGCATCCCTCTGATAACCTAGCCAGCATGTCCTTCATTAAAGGGAGAGGGTAAAGATGTTCCACACAGATGGCATTAAGATCCTGAAAGTCAACACAGAAGTGTAAGCCACCATCCTTTTTCTCCCAGAAAAGAACAGGGGCGGCCACCCTTGATCTAGCTGGCTGAATAAAGCCCCCTTTAAAATTCTTTTCTATGTACACCCTCATTTCTGCCAGCTCTTGTGGGGTCATAGAATACATTTGGGGCTTTGGAAGTTTAGCCCCAGGGAGTAGTTCCATTGCACAATCTGTGGGGCGCTGAGGGGGCAAAGTATCACATTCCTGTTGGCTGCATACATCTTTTAAGTCTGCATATACCTGAGGGAATCGCTCCTCCCCAGCTGTATGTACCGATGGCACTGTAGCTCAGAATCTCACCGGACCCTGGGCCATTACTTGAGCGCATGCGCGAGGAACATGTCTGCCGGGTTCTTCGCTCTGGCTCCGTACAGAGAAAAANCGGTGAGATTTGAACCGCTGACCTGCTGATCTAGCAGTAGCCTGCAGTGCTGCATTTAACCACTGCGCCACCTTGGCGCATCAGCCATAAAGTTCTTCCCTCCTGGGATATACTTCAAAGTGAAATTGAATCTATTGAAGTGTTGTGCCCTTTGGGGGGATAATTTCCGGGGGGTCTTCAATGCCTCTACATTTTTGTGATCAGTCCACACCTCAAAACGGTGTTTAGCCCCCTCCAAAAAATGACATCAGGTCATCAAGGCCCACCTGACCACAAAAGCTTCCTTTTCCCATATAGCCCATTGCCTCTCAGTCTTGGTTAGCTTCCGAGAGGTGTAAGCGCAGGGTTGTAAATTTCCATTAGCATTTGCCTGAAGCAACACCGCCCCCACTGCAACATCACTAGCGTCTGCTTGGACCACAAATTTGGGTCTGAGTTTCTTATATGAAAATGGCAGACAGATATTTAGTGGAGAGGTATACCCTCTAGCCTACATGGAAAGGTCCTTGAGCCTTCCGCCTTTTATCGGCACTCTTTTTATATGTGGCAAAAGAGTGACATAATGCATCCCTTACCACTTTCCAAACTTTTTGCATCCAGGCTATCCACTCCTGCGAGGTCGTGTCAACTGGGCACACTTGAGGACACTCCGGAATTGGGATGAACTTCTGCCCTGTAGCCACATGAAATGGGGTAAACTCCATACTTTTGTGCACTGCATTGTTATATGCAACCACTGCAAAGGGAAGGAGTTCAGTGCAATCTGTCTGTTGGTACTGGACGTAACATCTTAAGTAGCACTCCACCATTGCATTTGCCCTCTCCGCAGCACCATTGGTCACAGGATGGAAGGCTGTACTAAGTCCCTGTGAAGACCCCACCATTGCCACGAATCTGCGGCAGAACTGGGCAGTGAATTGAACTCCCCTGTCTGAAATTATCCTTTTGGGGATGCCATGGAGTCTATAGACATGGGTAATAAACAGTTTGGCCAGCTTCCTAGCAGATGGAAGGCCGGTATATGCTATAAAATGAGCATGCTTAGAGAACAGGTCTATTATTGTCCAAATGACCTTGTTCCCTTGGCTGTCCGGTAAATCCACAATGAAGTCCATGGCTATCTGTTCCCATGGCCAAATTGGATCTGCCACCTGCTGTAAAAGTCCAGGAGGCTGGCCAGGCTGGGCCTTCATGGTAGTGCAAACAACACAACTCCTTACATATTCCTCTANAAAAGCAAGCAGCAAAACAGAGGCTGACATCCGGCCTTCCTCCAGGAAAAGGGACATCATCCCTGCAGAAACGAAAGAACACAGACAAACAGACGAACAACATAACATAAAAGAAAAAGGGAAGGGGAAAAAAAAGAAATAAATCGAGGTCAAGGCTTGTCAGGGTAGGCAGAGTAGAATTTACGGAGCAGCCGAGGACCCTGCACATGGGACTTATCGACCCATTCAGCATGCGAGGGAGGAAAGTGTTTCCATGAAACAAGATACTGAACTCGGTGTCTATGCTTCCTAGAGTCCAAAATTTGTTTAACCTCAAAATGCTGCTCTCCTTCAATCAGAAGAGGGGCAGGTGGGGCTGCCAAAGGGCCACGCAATGGACAAGTACGTTCTGGCTTCAGAAGATTGACATGAAACACCAGGTACACACGGTTGAGATGTTTAGGCAACTCCAGATGTATGGAGACAGGGTTTATGACTTTGACAATTGGGAACGGGCCAACATACTTGGGACCCAGTTTCTTAGACTTTTGTGAGGTCTGGAGAAACTTGGTGGATAAATATACATGATCACCAAATTTATAATCCCTTGGCTTCATTCTCTTTTTATCCGCTTGTCTCTTATGTGCCTGATGAGCCGCCCCCAGTGCTCGGTATGCCAAGGGCCACATCTCTTGGAGTTAGTCACTCCACTCGGAAAGGGACAGCACTTGTGGTTTTTCTCGAGGCATCTCGGGAATAGGCACAAAATCATGTCCGAACAGTATTTTGAAGGGGGTAAATCCCGTGCTGCTGTGCACTGAGTTGTTATACGCCACCTCAGCATGAGGCAACAATTCCACCCAATTATCTTGCTGGTGATTGATGAAACATCGGAGGTACTGTTCCAGAACAGAATTAGTCCTCTCACAGGCCCCATTAGTTTGAGGTTGGTGGGCGGAGCTTAGGCCTTGGGCGGAGCCTATTAACTTCAAAAACTCCTTCCAAAATAAGGAGGTAAATTGGACCCCCCTATCAGAGATGATGTGGTTCAGTACTCCATGTAGACGATATACATGTGTAATGAATAACTTAGCCAAGGACTTAGCGGATGGGATCTTGGAACAAGGAATGAAATGAACCTGTTTGGAAAACAAATCGGTAACGACCCAAATTACTGTATTTCCTTGACTTTCCTGCAATTCAACAATGAAGTCCATAGATATCTCCTTCCACGGTGCCTCTGGACGGGCCACCCCTTGGAGCAATCCCTGGGGTTTCCCCGGTGGCCGCTTGGCCGCAGCACATGTGGGGCAGCTGGCTACATAAGATTCAATGTCCTTCTTTAATGAGGGCCACCAAAATTGTTGTTTAATGAGATGCAGGGTTTTTACAAACCCAAAAATGCCCAGCCATGAGTGAGTCGTGAGCACATTGAAGAACCAGACTCCTAATAGTTGCGGGAACATACAATTTAGCTCCAATCCAAGCCAGGCCATCC